TTTTTGAACTGAATGTAAGAAAATTATGTCTTTCTTGTTTTTATTTATTTTATATATTCACACTGGAAGCTGGCACATTTAATCAAATAAAGAGCAATTAAAATTTCCTAAAACACGACTGAAGCTGTGAATCTGAGTGTTAGTCACTTGCTCCTGTCAGTGTAGATTATAATCAGGCACAATCCTAAATGGTAGGCAACTGCAGATGGATATATTTATATATGATACCACTCACTTGGAACGTCGCAAAAAAAGCTGTCTTTGTGGAAGTTCCAGTCAACTTCTCTTTTCTCTCTTTCGTAATGATCATCTGACCATCTATCATCTCGATGGCTGAAACAAAACGATTTGATGTTCAATAAACTCTTGCTATCAAAGGCTAGTAAGAATACTGGTGAGTATATTCTCAAAGCTGGGACTAGTTAGGACTTGATACTAAGTTGGAAGGCTATAAACAATCAATGCTAATTTTTTTTATTCCTAAAAAAGAAAACCTCATTTTTTTGTGTGTGTATCTAACATTACAGAATCTTAACAGGCTAAATAAACTAGGTAGCAAAAAAGTTTCAGGACACATACTTTTACATTTAACCATTTTTGCTCAGGTAATATTTACAAGTAGAATATATTTAGCATTGAGTCTAAAATGACAATTAAAGATTACCTTTTGGCTTGCTCATCTGCATATTTAAAAGGATAGTTAGCTAGTGTTGCTTTGTATCCAGTATTTTTCACCATGTTATTCCACGTGACTAGTCTTTGGCCTATTGCAGTCCCTCTTGGTTCAAAACCCTAAGGCAAAGTAACATACATTTCCATTAGTGTAATCAATCATTTCAGGCTATGTGTAGTTTACAATAACAGCTTAGGAAAGCAATGCCAATGTGATTAATAATTTTGAAACAAGAGAAAATACTTTTCACCAAACTACACCACAGGTGAAGTACATTATTGTGATAAAGCAATTTTGATTATTTGTTATGTTACAATGTCTCAGGAAGGAGGTTAAAAAGCTTGTTTGAAGTTTATCTTGATAATCTTGAAGATTATCTAACTCATACTTAAGTATTTAATAAGTAATACTTTTATGCTATAAAAATATGGTTAAATAAAATTGTGTTATGCACGTCAGAATGCTTTACAAAGAATGCTGTTGACATGGATGCAGAGACATTCTCTTCCTCATTATTCCACTTCAGAGAGTCTTGTAATTAGTTAAGATCGACACAGCTGTCCGTTAAGAACATGGACATTTAAAAACTTTTTTAGAGACAGAATAGATGTTATGGAAAGAAAAGATTTATCTTTAATGTTCATAAAGAGCTGTAAACCTACAGATGTTGGGAGGGTTTTTAAAGAAATGGGGCACATGCAACACATATCTAACTACTTCATTTTGTCAGATGAATTTGGATTAAAGAAGATGGGAAACAAATTCAACTAGTTTAATCCTCCTTACCAGCAATGGATCAGAGAAGTCAGGAAGCTCCGGTACTAATATTCCCACCAAGGCACAGACGATGATGAACATAGTGCACATGCCCAAGACCACCACGGGCCAGTCAGCTATCAGGGCTGCATAACTGCAGGAGCACAGAAAAAGCACAAAGCCCTTTTAGAAGGAACATAGAGCACTTTCATTCCTTTGATGTGAGTAAATTGTGAAATTTTCATTATTTAAGTGCGTCTGATACAGGCCATAGTCTTCGCAATCACCTGTTATGCATCAGAGAGTTGGACAATGACCAAGGAGGATAGAAGGAGAACTGATGCCTTTAAGCTGTGGTGCTGGAGAAGAGTACTGAGAATACCATGGACTGCTAGGAAAACAAATAGATTTGTCCTGGAGAGGGTTAAACCGGGTGGCTCCTTGGAGGCAAGGATTCTGAGACTCCATCTAACTTACTTCGGACATGTAGTGAGGAGAGACTGGTCCTTGGAGAGGGACATCATGCTTGGGAGGGTGGAGGGACGGCGCAGGAGAGGAAGGCCCTCTATGAGGTGGATTGATTCAGTGACTGGGATAATTGGGATGGGAGTGTCAGAGACAGTGCGATTGGCACAGGACAGAGCAGAGTTTAGGGCTGTTGTACACAGGGTCGCTATGAGTCGCAGGCGACTCGACGGCACATAACAACAACAACAACACAAGTATCTCAAGAACCAGGATACTGCAAAAGGCTGCACACATGATGACTAAACATAAAGTTGGAGGTTTGAGCTCTTAGGAAAAAGGTCTGGAAATCTACTTCTAAAAACTCAGTCATGAAAAATGTTATGGAGCACTGTCCTAGCCTGAGTCACAATGGACTCAACAATCACGTTTCTGTTAAGTACAGGTGTTTAACATTCCTTTTAATCACTGTTCTTTCTTTATTCCTTTCTCAGTCAAAGTTTTTGTGGAAAACTTATCTTTCTGTTTTCTCAGATTCTATGTGCTCTTAAAACACAAAATCATATATGTACCTAAACATTAAAGTGTAGTATGCAAAAATATAATGAACATACACCCCAGAGGGCAGAGAGTTGTATCTGCTATGTTTATTGCTGTGTAAATGGCCAGAACAGTAATTGTAAATATTGCTTAGGAGATCCTTGCTGAGTAAATGAACAAACACCTACATACTTGCTAAACTTTCACTCCCATCCACTACAGCTTGACTTTAATCTCTTCTCTTTTTTCCTTCTTTAGATCAATGAAATAGAAATGAGAATTCAGAAAGCAGCTCATCTACCTATGCTCAAATGATTTTTGACAAGGAGATGAAATTAGTTAAGTGAGTAAACGACAGCCTTTTAAACAAATGGTGTTGGCAAAATTGGAAAGTAGAAAAGTGAAGCAAGACCCACACCTCACACCATACACAAAAACCAACTTAAGGTGGATCAAGGACATAACAGTAAAAACAAAGGCTAGAAATTTCATTAGAGAAAAGCCTGGAAGAACTCTAGAAGCCCTAATCCACGTATGAACAGTCTTCCAGCATAATGGAAAAACCTACAATTGGGAGAGAACAAAATAGATGAATGAGACCTTCTAAGAATCAAATCTCTATGCACATCAAAAAACGTCAACAGGGTAAAAAGGAAAGCCACAGACTGGGAAAAATATTTGGAAATGACATATCATCTGATAAGGGACTCTTATCTAAAATTTACAGAATACTCCAGCACCTCGAGAAAAAGGTAATCTTTTCTTACCAATAAAAACCAGGTGCTGACTACTGGATTCAGACTCATGGTGAGCCCAAGTGCATCAAAACAGAACTGGGCGCGACTGCTCTCTTAAGGAAAACGGACCTTTTTTTTTTGAGAAGTAGATTGCCAGGTCTCTTTCCTATGGTGTTTCTGGTTGGACTCAAACTTTCAATGTTCAGGTTAACGGCCAATACAAGACCCAAGAAACCTCTGAAATCTCATCTGTTAAAAGAATCAAGTCCCTTTCTCCCAGACATCCTTCCCACTTCTCATCCACAACCTTCACCCAAAGAGCTGGTTCTGTATGGCAACTCCCTCATACCTTGATACTACTAGGGCTTGATAAAAATTATCTAATGGGAACCGAAATTAAACTTTCCTATTATGCCAACTTGAATCATCAATGTTATTGTTATTGTTGTATGCTGTCAAGTTCGAATCAACTCACAGCTGACCCTCCAGTGAGTTTTCAGAGGTAGTAAATCCACAGGAGGGGATTGCCCATCTTTCTGTAGACCAGCTGGTGGGTTTGAACTGTGTGCTTTTGGGATTGCAGCACAATTTTTTGCCCCTAGAGCTCCACTGAATCTTCATTAGAAGGGAAAAACAGTTTAATTGCAGGCCATTACTCTTAAATTCTCAACAATTTTAGTTCACTTTGATGCTGTGATAGTTGGCAATTCCGACTCACTTGAAATGGCTTCTTACTCACATGTTTCTGTTATTTCTTTAAAATTAAGCTAATACTACATACAAAGCAAGCAGTTCTAAATATCACTGTGGAAATACTGTAGAAATACTATATATCTCTCAGAACAGACTGATGTTTATATTCTGATCTCTCAACTTTAAAGGCTTGATTTTTTTGTTTTTAGATGCCATGGAAGCAATTATAACTCACAGCAAACCTACGAACAAAAAGATCTGAATCTCACCTTATCCTATTCTCACAATCTCTCTCATACTCAAGTCCATTGTTGCAGTCACTGTGTCAATCCATCTCTTTGAGGATCTTCCCCTCTTTTCACTGACTCTTATCTTTCAAAGTATGATACCTTTTGTAAGGACTGTTCTCTCCTGACATGTCCAAAGTATGTGAGGTAAACTCTGAGAAGTACCCTAATTTTACTTTCTACATTCACAGGATACCTAATATTCTTCACCAACACCACAATTCAAAGGCATCAGTTCTTTTTTGGTTTTTCTTTTTCATTGTCCAACTTTCAGCTAGACATAGGAAACAACTGAACACCAGGGCTTGGCTCTGGTACACCTCAGTCTTTAAAATGATATCCGTGTTCTTTAAACACTTTCAACCAGTCCTTGACAACAGATTTCCCCAGTGCAACACTTCTTTAGAGTTTTGAGTTCCGTTATCTACCGTAGGTGGTAATTATGGATGAAAGTAAAATTAAACCACTGACAACTTCAATCTTTTATCCATTTATCATGATGGTGCCTACTGTGGGGTATTTTTAAAATAAAAACTTTAATCAGGATATTTAAAATCAGGATATTTATAGACATCTAACACAAAGGAGTAGCATCCACTTCCTAAACAATATGTGTCCAGAAACTCTATGAACTTTTATGATAAATGTCCATAGTTATAGAAAGGCCTCAGGCCTTTTGTTCATAGGTTAGCTATGAGTCATGCTTGACTCAAACGCAATCAACAACAGCATGCTCCAGATCTGCTAAATATAATATGTATATGCTTGAAGGACACCATGATTGGAGGAAGATTCATCAATAACCTTCGGTACATGGATGACACAGGCTTGCTTGCCGAAAGTGAATTTGAATCACTTGCTGCAAAGTTTCCATTTTTTTCTCCCTCTACCATGATCATGCCTATTGATCCAGCAGTGAAAGTTTTGTTTCCTTGACACTGAGATGCATCCTGTATTAAAGGCTTCAGCATTTGATCATGTGCAGCTAGTGTTTCAAATCTCCCTCACTTTTGGCAAGCAAGCCTGTGTCATATGCATACCAATCTCTTCAAAGTACTTAAGAGCAATGGTGTCACTCTGGAGACTAAGGTGCACCTGCCACAGGCCACTGTCTCTGCAATCAGTTGTTATGCATCAGGAAGTTGGACAATGACTAGGGAGGAGAGAAAGAGAATTGATGACTTTGAGCTGTGGTACTGGAGAAAAGTACTGAATGTACCATGGACTGCTATGATAACAAACAGGTTCACCCTAGAGAGGGTTAAACTAGGCGGCTTTGTGGAAGCAAGGATTCTGAGGCTTCGTCTGACATATTTTGGGCATGTTGCAAGGAGGGACTCGTCCTTGGAGAGGGACATAATGCTTGGGAGGGTGGAGGGACAGTGCAGGAGGGGAAGACCCTCTATAAGAAGGATTGATTCAGTGACTGTGGAAATTGAGGTGGGTGTGTTGGAGACAGTGAGATTGGCATAGGACAGAGCAGGGTTTAAGGTTGTTGTACACAGGGTCGCTATGAGTCACTAGTGGCTTGACCGCACATAACAATAACAACAACCAGCAGTCAGGGGATCTGGATAAGTTTTGCACTGGGAAACTCTGTGGTCAGAGACCTCTCCAAATTACTGAGGAGCAATGATTTTAGTTTGAGGACTAAGGCACTCTTGATTCACACCATGTTCTTCTCAATTACTTGGAATGCATCTGAGAACTGGACATGAATAAGGTGGACTGGAGAAAAATAGATGCCTTTTGAGTTGTGGTGTTGGAGGCAAACAGAACAAATAGGTGCAGCCAGAGTGTTCTTTGAAGGCAAGGAAGGTGAAGTTTTGTGTTTCATACTTTGGGCATGTTGCTAGGAGAGGCTATTCCTTGAAGGAGGGTATCATGCAGGAAAATTAGATATTGTTAAAGAAGGAATGGAACGCATAAATATTGACATACTAGGCATCAGTGAGATGAGATGGACTGGCATGGGACATTTTGAGT